GGAAGGAAGGAAGGAAGGAAGGAAGGAAGGAAGGAAGGAAGGAAGGAAGGAAGGAAGGAAGGAAGGAAGGAAGGAAATGGTAGAAGTTCCAAAATACATTGGCTATAATTTATTTAGGTAGTGAAAATATCGACTCTTGATGGCTGGGGGTTCAAGCCTTTCAAACACAGATTAAAATCTTAACACTTAAAACTAAATACTGTTCTAGCCTCAAAGGTGATGTGGCACTCTTTTGAACTCCTACTATCCCGTGGGCTTTGATTGTGCCTTTGTCTGCACCTGCAATGAAATCCCCCCTGCGCATATGAGCAACAAAATCTACAGTGTGGGATGAAGCACAAAGTATACCCTCTGCTGAACACCTCTGGTTAAGGACCGGCAGCATCGGTGCTAAAGCATGGCCCATCAAATCAAATCAAACGGTAACCTCCCATGTAGTTCAGAAGCACTGGCTTCATTAAAGCTCTTGGGACACTTGTGTGAAGCTCGACAATCCCGAACCATTGGGGGAGGGGGGAGGCCAAAAAAGAAGAAGAGCTCCTTCCACATCTAAGGGGGCTTTACCTCAATGGTTTTCTGTTGGTCTATTCCCAGGCTATGCATCAGTCGCAAAACCTGCTCGTTATATTCTCCAATCGAAGGCTCATTCTCCTGCCCTGGGGGATAGAGCACAGGCCTCTGCACGGGGACCTCTACCAGCATCCACTTGTGCTCTTTGATCTGAGTAATCGTCAGCCTTTTCGATGGATCCAGGACCAGCATCCTCCGGATAAGGTGCTCACACTCTGCAGGGACAGGAAAGGGGGAGAGATGGAGCTAATCTGGAACCGGGATAAATGGCTACACAGTACTCATTTGGAGTACTGTGTACAGTTCTGGTCACCACACCTCAAAAAGGATATTATAGCATCGGAAAAAGTGCAGAAAAGGGCAACTAGAATGATCAAAGGGTTGGAACACTTTCCCTATGAAAAAAGGTTAAAACGCTTGGGGCTCTTTAGCTTGGAGAAACGGCGGCTGAGGGGTGACATGATCGAGGTTTATAAAATCGTGCATGGGATAGAGCAGGGAGAGAAAGAAGTCCTTTTCTCCCTTTCTTACAATACAAGAACTCCTGGGCACTCAACGAAATTGCTGAGCAGTCGGGTTAGAACAGATAAAAGGGAGTCCTTCTCCACCCAAAGAAGTGATGAACACATGGAATTCACTGCCACTGGAGGTGGTGGCGGCTACAAGCATGAACAGCTTCAAGAGGGGATTGGATACACATATGGAGCAGAAGTCCATCAGTGGCTCTTAGCCACAAGGTATAGATAGGAACTCTCAGTCTGGGGCAAGGGATGCTCTGTCTTCTTGGTGCCTGGGGGGCAACAGTGGGAGGGCTTCTAGTGTCCAGGCCCCACTGCTGGACCTCCTGGTGGCACCTGGTATTTTTGGCCACTGTGTGACACAGAGTGTTGAACAAGACGGGCCACTGGCCTGATCCAACATTGGCTTCTCTTATGTTCTTATGGCTGTCCCGTTGACAGTTACTCAGTTTAACACTGATTGATAAAGAGGCCATCGACGCTAGGAAAAGGCTTGGTTCTGACACCAGGTAAGTTCCTGCTAAAAATAAAAATAATCTCGAGGCTGGGGACTTCAATTTGTACAAGGAACAAGATCCATTTCTCCCACAGGTGCGCAATTATGGAGAACAGCAGAATTATTTCTAACTGCCGGCATGATAAAAGGAATAACAGTAATTCTTAGCACCCCTCAGGACAGCTGATGGGCACACAAAAAGCACAGACATGTCAACAAATGAAGCCTTTAAATAGTGGCAAAAAATATTCACCTTTCACAAATGATCAAGGTATTCAAAGAACTAAAGCAATGTGACCATGGTTACAAAGGAATATTGTGGCAGAGAATTCTGCCCTTTCCCCACAAACGCCACTTCCTGGCCCTAAACAGGATTTTCGTATGAAGCAAGAAAAAATATCTAAGGACATCCTTAGTTATTTCAGATAGTACACCTTGCACCGTGGTCCAGGTCAGTATTGTCCACTCAGACTGGCAGCACCTCTCCAGGGTCCCAGGCTGAGGTCTTTCGCATCACCTACTGCCTGCTCCTTTTGATTGGAGGTGCCAGGGATTGAACCTGGGACCTTCTGCATGCAAAGCAGAGGCTCTACCACTGAGCCACGATGTGTGCCATGGTGGGCCCTCCATGGCATATATCTGCTCACCTGCCACCTCCTCCTGTACCACCTAGCTGCTGCAGCCAGAAACAAGGCAGGAGGTGATGAGCAAGCCGACACCTGTTGCGGCGGCTAGCTGGGTTCAGGCTGGGCTGCCAGCACCGCTGGGGCCTGGCTTGCCCCTGGTTGCCAGTGGCCATTCAAGGCAGCAGCCGAGTGGGAACTCGTCCAGGAAGTTAAAGGGCTGATGGTGCAGTCCTAAGTGCCTTTACAGCCTTCTAAGCCCATTGGCTTCAGTGGAATGTAGAAAGGGGGTAAGGCTGCTTCGGATGGCACTGCAGTTCTCCCGGGTGTCGGCCCCGGAGTCAGTCCTTTTAACTCCCGGGAGAGGCAACGCTACATGTAAAGGGTGGCTCAGGGCCCAGAATTTTGCATTTGATTTGCTCAGGGTCACCATTTACATTCGAGGAGACAAACAGCTTCGGACCATAGGCAGGAACAAACGTTCAACATGAAACAGCCTCTGGGTTTCACTGAACGCTGAGCAGAAATGCCGCTACGCAGACAGAGGAGGCTGGCAAACGCCCAAAATAGAAACGGAGAATGAGGAACAGACCAAGGCTGAGGTCACAAGCATGCCTTGTGTGTGGGGAATACACGTGGTCAACACACACACACAGGCACAAAAACACTTCCTTTTCAAAAAGTCAACAGATACTATGTTTTGGGGTCTATACAAAAAGCTTTTAAAAACCAACTAAAATTACACAGGCTGCATTTATCCAATTAGAGGGCCTGCCTAATCACAAGGAACTGAATCTCTAGACAGTGTTATCAGTGTGGCACCAAATTAAATCTGCCAAAGAGGGAGGTCCTGTACCTGAGTCGTGGAGATCTGGGATCGGGAATCCAGCTCCCAAACCTCGGAGGAATGCTGCTGAAGCTGACGCCGAGGGCGAAGAGCTTGGGGGTGGGCTCCTAGATGCCTCCCCTTCAAGGGAGGCCCAGGTCGCCACCGTTGTTCGATCGGCCTTTTACCGTCTGTGGCTGGTCAGGCAGCTGGTCCCGAATCTCACTCCCCGGGACTTAGCTATAGTGACCCATGCAATGGTCACTTCCAGACTGGATCACTGTAACTCACTCTGTGTGGGGCTGCCCTTGACCGGGAATCTGCAACTAGTGCAGAATGCGGTGGCACGTATGCCGACGGCGACGCCTGTGCGGGCTCATGTTCAGCCAGTGCTGCACCAACTGCACTGGCTGCCAACAGAGTACCGGATCCTGTTCAAGGTTTTGGTGTTAACCTTCAAAGCCCTATGAGGCCAGGGACCTGCATATCTTTGGGACCACCTCTCCCCATACGTCCCTCGCAGAGCATTGCACTCAAGTGACCAACATCTCCTGGTTGTCCCCGACCCCTAGGATGTCCGGCTCACCTCGACTAGGGCCAGGGCTTTCTCTGCCCTGGCCCCAGCCTGGTGGAACAAGCTCCCTCTTGATATCAGGGCCCTGCGGGATTTGTTACAATTCCACAGAGCCTGCAAGGCGGAGCTGTTCCGCTGGGCCTTCGGATGAGGTGGCGGACATCCAAATTCGATCTCGGCCTCCCCTGCTGGCCACATGGATCCAGCTCAAACTGAGCATCGCTGTCGAGGTGAATCCACCCTGTTTTGTGTCAGATTGGGTTTTATGAGAATTATGGTTTTAACTATTTGATTATATATCATTAGTGATTTGTGAGCCACCCAGACGGCCTGCTTGAGGGGAGGGCAGGATAAAAGTAGAAATAAACAAACGTAAGTGGGACAGACCCGGTCCAGTGTTCTGAATTAGTGTGAGTCGGCTCACAGTTTTTTAGCCTCTGGCTCATGGGTTTCTGTCCCAGCTCGGGAACGAGGGCTCCAGAGCAAACTGATTTATGCAGCAGACAAATTGCTCGCTCACAATTTTAATGCCAGTAGCTCAAAAGTAGGATTCTTGGCCACAAGGCTCCACAGCTTAGAGGGAGCATCGATCCGGTCTTCTCTGCTTAGCTCTGCTGCTTATGATGTCCAGCTCCTTTCTAAGGCAAGTCAGCCAATGGACAGGTACCGGGCTAGAGTGCCCAGCAGTCTCTGAAGCACTGAGAATGCTGCTCTGATCGGGGCTGATTTACCGGGCCAGAACAGTCCCTGGCTTTCACACCACATTCAGCGCACATTAAAGCAGGTACTGCCATCACCCAAGCTCTGCCTCAGACTGATGTCCAGCATGGAATAAAGCAGGTGTGTGGGGAAGGGGGACACTGTGACTCAGTGGTAGAGCATCTGCTCGGCATGCAGAAGGCCTCCACTTCAATCCCCTGCATCTCCAGTTTAAAGTACTAGGTAAGGGTGGCTCAGTGGTTAAGGTGTTGAGCTGCGACACCGGAAGGTTGGCAGTTCGGCCGTTCGAGACCTGAGTGCCATGTGACAGAGTCTCTGGCCCCAGCTCCTGCCAATCTAGCAGCTTGAAAGCAAGAAATTGCAAGTAGATAAATAGGTACCGCTTCGGTGAGAAGGTGACAGCGTTCCACGCACCTTGGCGTTTAGTCATGCTGGCCACATGACCACGGAGAAGTCTTCGGACAGCGCTGGCTCTTCGGCTTGGAAATGGAGACGAGCACCGCCCCCTAGAGTCAGATTCGACTGGCTTTCGAGCAAGGGAAACCTTTGCCTTTACTTTAAGGGCGATATGGAAGATCCTCCTCTGCCTGAGACTCTGGAGAGCTGCTGCCAGTCTGAGTAGTCAGTACTGACCTTAGTGGGGCCAGTGGTCTGATTCAGAATAAGGCAGCTTCATGTGAACAGACTTACAACATCACATGCTAACATGACGGAACAACAGAACGATCCGTTCTCAACTTTGTTGTGCATGCTGGGCACTAACAGAGGAGACTGTCAAAGGTAACTTCCAGGCATGCAAAGGGAATTTTTTGCATTTTTGTTCTCTGTATCTGAGAGGCAGCTTGCTATTTTCGTCTCAGTTTCTGCCTTTGGAATGAAGGGGTCCCCACCGCCCACAGGCCACCCATCACCCACAGCTTTTCATAACGAACAACGGGAGCCAAAGTTAAAAGACCTCCAAAGAATGGTGCGTGCAGTTATTACCTTCTGACATGAAATAGGGGATCCGGAACCTCCCTTCCAGGACTCGTTGTCTCAGGATGGGAAGAGTAGGGCCATCGAAAGGTAGTGCTCCACAGACTAAGACGTAGAGAACTACACCCATGCTCTGGAAGACAGAAGAACATTTTCTGCGTTTACCCCTGGGGAAACCCCTTGGTCCAAAGTCTGCTGGTCAAACACAACTGTACTGCCTTTAAGAAAACACGTTGCATCTGTATTTCACAGAGTGCTTCAGTATCCAAGTAATGCCTGCCCGGCGCTTACTCCGCACAAGCAATATAGAGCAGCAGGGTCTGCAAAGCAGTATTACTGGAAGCATCTACAAGCCTCGGACACTCTAGCCTAATTTTAAACAAAATATCAGAGCCCGTGCATTTTTGCTTCCCACGTCTTTCCCCCTGCCTTCCTTTATCCTGTGAGCAGCCAGTTTTATGCACGTCACCGGACGCGTGCCCGTTTGCTTAACGTATCTGCAGAAATTGGGTTACAAGTTGCCGTTATCACCATCACATCCCTAGTAGCTTTTCTTGTTGTCTGCAGTTTCCCCCTCGCTGACATGATTTCCCCTTGGGGGGGGGGGAGTAAGTTCACCAGAGACGGCTTCGTTCATTTTGCCAGCCTCCTCCTTCTACTAAAGACCTGTGCCTCCAGCTAATGGAGTCTGACATCCTTCCTTTGGCTGAGGTGTGAATTCCCACACTGGGCTTCTTCTTCAGACGGCATCCCAGAGTCCAACTGGAGTTACACTTTCCTATGGAGCGTGGGAAGGGAGTGTCCATCTAGAATGATCGTAGCTCCAGTCAGCTGGACTTTTTAAGGACCTGAATTAATGCAAGCCAAGGCTCTGTTATTAGGCTCTGTTATTTTCAAAACTGCACACTCTCTCCCTTGTTTAAATAAAGCCTGTCTTCCTTCCAGCCTTGACTGTCTCTGAGGTGAATTCCCAGCCAACAGCTCAAGGACGGATGTGCACATGTGTGAGGTGTGGTATGTGAGAGGAGGGCAGAGCTTCTGCCTATCTAGCTCTGTCTCTAACCGCAAGGGGGCAGGTTGGTGGCACACTACCTGAAGCCCGTGCGGGCTCTTTTGAGCCGTGCGGCCCCTGCTCTCTGGTGGCCCAAGAGTGGCTGGGAAAGTCGGGTGGTGAGTTGGAGCTCCCTCCCTCCCTTCCCCGTTGGTATCTGACCCCATCACAACACCAGTCATGGCGGAACGGAAGGGAACTGGGCAGGGGTTGGGCTAGCGGCATGGATGGGGCACCAGGCAGGAGGCTTTCCAATGATCAGGCCACGAGAGAAACAAGAACAGATTCAAAGTCATTCACTATTGCTGCTGCTGGGATTGTAAGCAACTTACAAGCTAGCAGAGGGGCTCCCAGCTTTGTTACAAAACACAGGGGGGAAAAACTGAACTTGTGCATATTTGTAGTGCTGATGGCCACTGCTGGAACCCAATTTATCACCCAGATAGCGTCAGCAGTGGCACCTAAATCCTAGTACTCAACTGCATGGCTGCCGTTGCCTTTGGGGAAAGACTTCTTTCATCTAGAGCTCTTATAAGCCATATAATTCAGTATGTGTAATTCTTCCCATCACTTCAGCACTTCTCTTAGAGCCATTAACAGAACGGAACCCCCCCCCCCAACCTGAAGAATCTACAGCAACCCTACCATCTTATCTATGGCTACAGGCATTTTCCATCTAATCTGATAAATCCTAGGCATTTTTTCTGCAGTGCTGTGGGACCTTGTGTAAGATTGATAAGGGAGACGGCCTCCAGAGCAAGTTTCACTCAATGAAATATAAGCCACCTTCAACAGAGGCACAGAATATTTATCCCAGCCCAAATTCCACCCAAAGCTTCCTTGAATTCTCACGGCTCAAAATGCTGACGTGTGATGCTCTCTTGCTCCCAACTTGAAAAAGCTTAAGGGAAGAAATCCCTCTCAAGGTCAGGATAAGAGCCTCAGATCCGGGTCTGCTGCAAAGCCCGCCAGAGTTATTACGTAAGGCATGACGGGAGGGAAGTCTCACCAGTGTACTGACTGTCAAGCTCTCATTTGAACAAGCAGGCCATGTGTCTCATCTAGTGGTGCCAAGGGGAAGTTTGAAAAAATCTGCCCAACAACTTAATGGTGCAGAGCAATGTTCCCTCTAAGCTGCGGAGTCTTGTGAGCAAAAATTCTACTTTGTGAGCTACTGGCATTCAGGCTGTGAGCGAGCGATTTGGCTACTGCATTAATTAGTTTGCTCCGGAGCCGTCCTTCCTGAGCTGGTACAAAAATGTGTGAGCCAGAGGCTAAAAAACTGTGAGCTAGCTCACACTAACTCAGCTTAGAGGGAACACTGGTGCAGAGATATAACCTGGCAAGGACAGAAGAAAAAGTCTCATGGGAACCATAAAAACCCCAGACTTGGAACTGCAATAAATGTAGTTGTATGGGCCCTTATTAATTGCTGTAGGGGGAGAAACATACAGATTTGCCCTTCCCCATGCCTGGAATGATCAGCTTCGTTAAACACCCCCCCCAAAAAAAAAAATGTGGCCTGTTTTGTTGTCAAATAAACTCCCAAAACTTTTACATTTCAAGTGCAAGTCCTCTTCTTGTCTGGTTTTGAAAAATATTTTTGTTAGCAACACAGCAAGTCAGTAGTTTTAGGAAATGTTTTCCCAGTGCTCTGCAAATGTTCTGGCACCACCTCACAAGAGCATCCAGCGCTGCAAATCCTTGGGCGTGTTACCAAGTTCATTTTAAAGTTACAGGACAGCAGGTGCAACGGGGTTGGCGAGAAGTGTTTCTTTGTTAAACAAATGTGAGTCTCTTCACAGCAGCAGAATATGCCACAATCTTCCACGCCCTTGCCTAGTTCCTAAAGAAAACAGTAAGCAAGGGCCAGTTCCAAGAATGGGAAGGCGCTTACATTCCACCTACGAGAAATATGAAGAACCCCAGCCAGCCATAAATCCTGGAAACAGACAGAAAGGATACGTTTCTCTACCATTAGAGGTTTCCTTACTGGTGCATGCACTCCCGTGGCTGGAAACTACTGTCAGAAACTGCTGAGAGATACACCTGTGAGATGTTCAGCCTGGCAAGTCTGTAAGCCCAGCCCTACAGCAGGCTGCAAAAGCCATGCTGAGGATGCTTTGCTAATACCAGGTGACACGAAAATCCAATTATTAAAGAAAGGAATGAAAAGCACTGTGTCTGACGGGGCATTGAAGAGTTCAAGGACCCGGGCTCAGCACATTTCGTCTCCTGCATGCACCATGTGAGATTTTTTTTGGTCAGCCTGCATGTCCCTTCCCATTAGAGTAACATGAAGCAAACACACCACGCATTCCGGTTCAGCCACATGGAACTTGCCCGCAGCGGAATGGTTCCAGGCAAACAGCCTGTTTCCTCCACTCAGAGGGAAGAGGGCAGAGAGCAGCCGCGTACTAATGACTCAGACAATCCCTCTGGCCTTGTGAAGAATTCAGGATCCTAACTTTGGTCTGAACGCCTGAGAAAGAAGAGGGATATGCTGACGAAGGCTTTCATGGCCGGAGTTCATTCGCTGTTGCAGATTTTCCGGCCTGTACGGCTGTGGTCTTGGCATTGTCGGACCTGACGTTCCGCCAGTAGCTGTGACTGGCATCCTCAGAGGTATAACACAGAAAGGTGGAGTACTCTCTGTGTCAAGGTGAGAAGAAAAATGGTAGGCGGATAATTTATATCTACTCAGGAAGGTGGGGTAGGGCTGAGTCATTATCTTGTAGGAGTTCCTCAGGCTGTGAAACATGCTAATGTTTCAGCTTTCCTGAGAAGGTTCTTTTGCATATGGATTGTTTCCTGAGGAGGTTCTTTTTCTGTCTTATACCTCTGAGGATGCCAGTTACAGCTACTGGCAAAACGTCAGGTCCGACAATGCCAAGACCGGAAAAATCTACAACAGCCCGGAAAATCTACAACAGCTAAAGAAGAGAGAATTAATACAATAAGCCACAGCGTGGAGAGCTGAGCACACACTAGGCACGAATTCAGGGGAGAGGACAAGCTCCCCGGATAGGCCAAATTACTTCCCATCTTACAAAAGATATCAGTTTTAAAGGAATGTTTCCAGTTCCCCAACTCATATCTACTGGGCACTGTGACGGGTCTGAAGAAGCAAGATCAACTTTGGCTACATGCTGGTAAAAGGAAAAAAGGTTAATGGTTTCTAGGTTATGGTTTACATGACAAATATCAAGCTACCCAAATATCCAGCTGTGGACCCTCGTACTGTTGACCTTCAAAGACCTCGGGGGCAGCATAAGGGGGGCTTCCGCACCATGTTGTCAAAGGCTCTCCGCTTTTGTAGAAATTTCCAAACCCAAAATCTGTTGAGAGGGAAAAAAGGGGGGGGGGGAACACATAGATAAGCTTTCTTAGATTTTGAAATCCAGGTTCATATTATTCATTTCTGGTCAACACTTTTGTGGTAAGCAATGAAATGAAGGTGGGCCCAGACACGTACATATTAAGACCAAAACATCCTTAAGCATGTTCACCAGATCATTCAGAGAAAGTTGTGCAAAGCTTCATAACATAATGTTGTAAATGTTAAATGCGCAAGACGCATCACATCTCCTCGCTCCTGCTATAGACTCATTTTAAAAGGCGTAGTCATGTCTTTGCCCTGACCTGGACGGCCCAAGCTAGCCTGATCTCATCAGATCTCGAATGCTAAGCAGGGGCAACCCTGGTTAATACTTGGACGGCAGACCACCAAGGAAGCCCAGGGTTGCTACGCAGAGGCGTCAATAGCAAACCACCTCTGAAGGTCTCTTGACTTGAAAACCCTACGGGGTTGCCATACGTCGGCTGAGACTTAACAGTACTTTCCGCCACTACCACTCATGCCTTCAGCAGTAAGGGGAACAATGGCTGGGTTAAGAACATAAGAGAAGCCAGTGTTGGATCAGGCCAATGCCCCATCTAGTCCAATACTCTGTGTCACACAGTGGCCAGAAATACCAGGTGCCATCAGGAGGTCCAGCAGTGGGGCCAGGACACCAGAAGACCTCCCACTGTTGCCCACCCCCAAGCATCAAGAATACAGAGCATCACTTGCCCCAGACTGAGAGTTCCAATCTATACCTTGTGGCTAATAGCCACTGAGGGGCTTCTGCGCTGTATGTTTATCCAATTCCCTCTTGAAGCCTTCCATGCTTGTAGCCGCCGCCACCTCCTGTGGCCGTGAATTCCACGTATTAATCACTCTTTGGGTGAAGAAGGACTTCCTTTTATCCGTTCTAACCTGACCGCTCAGCAATTTCATTGAGTGCCCACGAGCTCTTGTATTGTGAGAAAGGGAGAAAAGTACTTCTTTCTCCACCTGCTCTATTTATAAACCTCGATCATGTCACCCCTCAGTTACTGTTTAGTTGCTGTTGTAGCTCCCAGGTCTCCACTCTGTGCCTGAAGGCTGCCTCTGTGCAGCTGCTAGTCCTGAGTCCAACTGGATAACCATGCAGATGTGCTGTGGACACCCTGAATTTTCCATTCCACCCACCCACCCAACGTGTCTTACAAACAAGGCCATTAACATTCCATCCACACGGCTACAATCAATGGGCGCTTGTTTTGATCCTATGAGAAGCCCTGGAAAATTCAGATGTGGCTTTGGTGGCACCTTGGTATTTGAAATATTGCTTCAGTCCAGACTTTGGGGGATTCTGAACAGCTGTAATCTGGTTTGTTGTTCTGCAGCCTTCTGAGCACATTTCGCAGGGTACTTCGCTTAGTACCATCTGCTCTGCATGGATTCCACCCATTCTCAATCAGGGAGCTTCAATCGTACGCACAACTCTGATCAGTTCTCAGCCTCCAACCCTAGCTAGCCGTTTCTGCGGATCCACTTTCAGGAAGCCCCCCTGACCTTTAGAGCACCTTACAGCTGCTAAAATGTCTCCTACACAGAAAGCAGAGCTCAAAGGCCATAACTCACAGCTCAAAAGCAAAAAGGAGGTGAGCAATTAAGTAGCTTGGTGAAGAGGGCACAATGGAGAGAAAACAAAAGCCCGTTAGTGCTCTTTTCTACCTTAATGTCACCTCCACAGCTAGCGAGAGGGCTGAAACAAAGGAACGCCAGGGCACTGATTTGAACCATTTCCATATTCTTGCTTTTAAAACCTTCGGGAGACACATAAATGCATGCTTCCAGTTTGCCTGGCACTTCAGTCTGTCAAATGCAGCTGTCAAAAGTCTAACATACATCTTTTGCACAACCCTGGTAAAAGGAGACCTCTATGCCACAGTCTCATTCATGTGTCCTATTAGCATAGCATGGTGCTCCGCTGTCAATGGCCTTTGTAAGTAACTGCCCTGACTGTGCTTCTACACAACACTGGTTTCCAGCCGTGCTTTTACAGGGAACAATACATCCCATTAACAAGTCAAATCCTTTGCGTGGTTTGAGGAACCTTATGAAACTCAGTCTCCGAGATATGTGGAAACAGCAGCGTCGGCTTAGCTGTATCTCCTGTCCGAACAGTTCAGGAGCATGTGAGTGCCATGTGGCACTGATCAGCAGATAGCAGAACTGATAAACACAGCAATTAGAAGACACTGGACAGGCATCACACGGAGGCCTCACTTTGCCCCAGTGGTGGCAAGCTGCACTACATTGCAGAAGGGACTCCAAGTTCACCTCACATGACCTTATGCAACAAGAAAGAAATCTGAAGTTGGTTCCTGGTTCATAACCTGCAGCTCTGCCTTCCCTTTTTTTATTCAGAGGTCCAAATACCTCTGTAGAGACCTGAAATTTAAATAAGTACAGCTCAAAATCCAAGGTAAACCATTCAACATCACAGTAATCCAAGTCTATGCCCCAACCACTGATGCAGAAGAGGATGAAGTGGACTGGTACTAGGAAGACCTACAACACCTCCTAGAACTAACACCAAAAAGATGTACTTATCATCACAGGGGCTTGTAATACTAAATTAGGAAGTCAAAAGGTAACTGGAATAACATACAAGTTTGGCCTTGGAGAACAAAATGAAGCTGGGCAAAGTCTAACAGAGTTTTGTCAAGAGAACACGCTGGTCATAACAAACACCCTCTTCCAACAACCTAAGAGGCGACTCTACACATGGACATCACCAGATGGGCAACACTGAAATCAGATTGATTATATCATTTGCAGTCAAAGATGGAGAAGCTCTATACAGTGAGTAAAAACAAGACCTGGAGCTGACTGTGGCTCAGATCATGAGCTACTCATTGCAAAATTCAGACTTAAACTGGAAAAAGTTGAGAAAATCACTAGGCCACTAAGGTTTGACCTAGATCACATCCCTTATGAATATACAGTAGAAGTGAAGAATAGGTTTAAGGGATTAGATTTGATAGACAGAGTGCCTGAAGAACTATGGATGGAGGTTCGTGACATTGTACAGGAGGCAGCAATCAGCACCATCCCAAAGAAAAAGAAATTCAAGAAAGCAAAGTGGCTGTCTGATGAGACTTTACAAATAGCAGAGAGAAGAAGGAAAGCAAAAGGCAAAGGTGAAAAGAAAAGATTTACCCAACTGAAAGCAGATTTCCAGAGAACAGCAAGGAGAGATAAGGGGGCTTTCCTTTTTTGATCAACAAAGGTTTATTCAAGGTTTTCAACATGTAACAATACAAGAATATAACAACAATATGATGCAAAGAGCAAAAAGAATAACAACAATTATTTGTTAACATTTTCTAAATACTTAAGGAGGTATCATTATGCTCATTAACATAACATCTATCTTGCTGCTAACTTCAGTTCATTGACAGGTTAGGAGTTTTAGCCTGGATGTTACTTTAAACAATTCTATATTCAGAAACAAAGCCAGTATTTATCATTAGCAAAGGAGGGAACCACTTCCTTTTCTGAGAGAAACTGAATTACTGAAAACCACTTACATACAAATGGTGTTTGATAATCCTCGTTAGTGTGATTAGCTATGCCATCCGCTATTTTCCCCATAATAAATTGCATCCAAAGCTTATCATACCACAGGTCTAATGACGGGCCTGAGACTGATTTCCATCTAGCGGCTACGGTAATTCTAGCTGCAGCCAATAATAAAGAGATTGTTTCTTTCATTTGTTTTGGGGAAGAGACTCTGGCCACACTTCAAGTAATATTAATTCAGGACTAAAAGGTATCGCCAGACCAGTTATCTGTCTGACAGCCGTTACTATGTCATCCCAGAATTTTTGGATACAGGGGCATTCCCACCAGCAATGCCAGAATGTCCCAGGGAGATAAGGAGGCTTTCCTGAATGAACAATGCAAAGTAATAGAGGAAAACAATAGAATGGGAAGGACTAGAGATCTCTTCAAGAAAATTGGAGAAATCAAGGAAACGTTCCGTGCAAAGCTGGCCATGATAAAGGACAAAAACGATAGGGACCTAACAGAAGCAGAAGAGATTAGGAAGAGATAGCAAGAATACACAGAAGAACTATACAAGAAGGACCTCAATGTCCTTCCTTGACAACCACAACAGTATGATCACTGACCTCGAGCCAGATATACTGAAGTCAAATGGGCCTTAGAAAGCATTACTAACAACAAAGCTAATGGAGGTGATGGTATCCCAGCTGAGCTATTCAAAGTCTTAAAAGATGATGCTCTTAAAGTGCTGCACTCAATATGCCAGCAAATTTGGAAAACGCAGCAGTGGCCACAGGAGTGGAACAGGTCAGTTTACATTCCAATCCCAAAGAAGGGCAAAGCCAAGGAATGTTCAAACTATCGCACAATTGCAGTCATTTCACACGCTAGCAAGGTCATGCTCAAGATCCTACAAGCTAATCGATGGTATTCCCAGTAGTAATGTATGGCTGCGAGAGTTGGACAATAAGAAGGCCGAGCGCCGAAGAATAGATTCTTTTGAACTATGGTGCTGGAGAAGACTCTTGAGAGTCCCTTGGACTGCAAGAAGATCAAATCAGTCAATCCTAAAAGAAATCAACCCTGACTGTTCCCTGGAAGGCCAGATAATGAAACTGAAGCTCAAATACTTTGGCCACCAAATGAGAAGGGAGCACTCACTGGAGAAGACCCTGATGCTGGGAAAGATTGAAGGTCAAAAGACGGGGACGGCAAAGGATGAGATGGTTTAGACAGTGTTATCTAGGCAATGAACATGAAATTATGCAAACTCCGGAGGATAACGGAAGACAGGAGGATCTGGCATGATGTGGTCCATGGGGTCACGAAGTCGGACTCAACTGTGTGACGGAACAACAACAGCAGCAGCTCAAAATAGCTTTTGGAGCACCCACTAAAACAGGAGTCCTCAATGTGGTGCCCGTGGGCACCATGGTGCTGGCCAACAGCTTTCCTGGC